AAAATTTGAAGACCACATGATTGTTAGTTTTTTTCAGTGCAATATTCTTGAGTAAAGAATTTATTCATTAGGGCTTAAATTCTCAAAGGGATCCATTCCAAACATGATGATAATGATAATGATCACATGGATTTGACAATCATAAAAAATAGAATAGAATATAAACAGGGTTAAAACAAAAAAAAGATAATTAAAAAGAGATTATGTAATTCTGAGAAAATTCTCAAAGATATATTTTTCATTCAACGAAAGAAATCAAAAAGAGAGAGAGAGAATGGAATCAAATCAAGAATCGTATTTTTAAAATTCTAATCAAACACAATTACCAAATCAACGATTAAACATAAAATTACAATTGATTCAAAAAAGAAATCTTTTCAGAAATTTAAACAAGGTCGGAAGTTAAAATGTAATCCATACAGCATGCGCATTTTTTCGATTCAAAAAAATGTGGATAATGATTGAAGGAAAAAAAGCCGAATCATTTAGACACAAAGAAACTTCTTCTTCTTCTTCTTTTTTTGAACGTTTTTCAAACTAAATAAATTTGATGATTGAATGAATTTTTTCTCAAAAAGATGCCGAACAAATAAAAAATTTCGATAGAATCCTGAACAAAAGAATCATTTTTAAAGCCTTATCATGCAGAATTGAAAAGAAAAGAAAACTTTATCATCAAATTAATGAGAAAATACTTGAAAATTTAACAAGGAAAACAATGAATTTTCTACGCTTTTATTTTATATATCGATATATATTTATATTATGGTTAAATAACGATGATTCTTTTATTATTGAACACAACACAATTTCAATCGAAATAATTCTGGCAAGTTTTTATCCTCAAAAAAAAATCTATTCATTTTGATGATTCTTAACAATCTGATTGTTGTCGATATTCTTGAAAAATTTAAAAAAAGAGTGAAAAAAAATAAATCAAGATTCAGTAATTTCAGAAATTACTATATTTTTCAAACAATGCATTTATTTGACAAGATGATGACAATAATATTGTTTGATGAATGATACTCAAAAGTGTAAACAATGATGATAATGATGATGATACAAATAACAAGCCAAAAAAAAAGAAGAAAAAAAAGTGTTATGAAAAGTTTTTATTTTTTGGTGACGTTTGCAATAATAATAATTATTATTATAATGATGATGATGATGACGGCAATCATCATATATTGTACAATAATATTTTGTCAAAATAATGTATAAATGGAAAAAAAAATTTTCTTAACATGATTCTAAAATAAACATTTACCATTAAAATATTGATGAATAGAGTGAATAGGTGCAGAAATGATAATTATTAATGAGATTCAGTCAAATTCAATTAAATGAAAGAATTCAATTACAAATATTCATTTAAATAAATTGGGGTTAAAAAAAGTTTCAACATAAAAAACTGTATGAATTATTTCAAAGGTCCATTAGCATTTTATCACAAGTTAAATTTCATCATTTCCTGGTCAATAAGCAGAAAAGTTGGCAATATCTTTTTTTTTAATTTGTTTAAAACAAATAAAATAATCTTCTTATAATCAATTTTTCATCAGAATTATGATTATCAATGATTCTGATGAAAATTCGAGATGGATGATTGAATCAGATGATAAAATTCAACCATTCACAACACAAAAACAAACATTAATGATCAAAATAGAACCATAAAAGACTTAAAATGTGAAACCGAAAATATCATTAATAAAACTAATCATCGAAAAAAAAGAACTGATCAACAAGAAAATAGTATCCGATATATTTAATTGAATGAATGAAAAACAAAAACAAAAATCAGGCCTACGATCAACAATGATCATATCATCATCATTGGATATAATATAAAGACAACAAACATATAAAAACTATCATCGAATTAGCCGGAATATCTTGTTCATTTTGTTTTGTTTTTTTGTTTTGTTGATTTTGTTCATTGTGCAATATGAAACCAATGCCCATTAACGAAACAAAATGTTATATATAAAAAAAATTGACAAAAGACAAATGATATAAAAATAATTAAAATTAGTATAGGGATATACAATCAATGAATGAATAGATGATAATAGAGAATATCAAGATATATTTCGTATTTAGAATCATTTAGAATTAATGATGAAAAATCTCTTATTTAATATATCATTGAAACCGTAAATATATAAAAATGGCAATCATAATAAAAATGATGATTCGATCCATGAGGAAATGGATTATTTTCATTGGATCTAACCGAATTTTTTTTTTGTGAATAAAACGGTGGTAAGAAAACCCAATAAAAACGATTTATTGAACAACAACAATGATCAATAAATATAATGAATGGAAAATTATAATATACAGTTGGAAACGATCAAATGATTGTATTTTCGCGCATCTTCAAAACTTATTTCATTTCTTTTCTTTAGATTAGAAAACTAAAGTAATGAAACATTACCAAGAGCCTTTAGGGTAATAAAATTCCTGGGAATAAAATGTGATCATTTTTATGTTCAACTCTACTCAACAACAACGATCACAATATACCGAGAGAGTAATTTGATTGGTGAGTCTAAATTTAACGGATTACTGAAAAAAATAGAACTGGTCAAATGATCAGAAGAAGAAGAAAAAAATTGATTCATGTTTCAATAAATTCAGATTCAGATTTCTTTCAAAGTTTCCTGTCCTTGTTTGTCATGTTTGAAAATTTGAAATGAAAACGATAGGAGAGAAATTCTCTTTCAAACAAGATTAGATTTATAAGTCGCATTCGTTTTTTAGACAAGCAAAAAAACAAACAATGTGAACAAATAACGAATGAAAACAAAACGAGAGGAAAAAACAATCAAAATTATCATGATGATGATGATGAAAGATTAATGACAAATACTTTGATTGATTAATGAATTGGTTTAGAATCTTAGAATTTTTTAGATTGATTACCCAAGAAAAAAAAATGGGATTCGGATGCGTAAATATAAAAATTGATTCGTATTGATATTGGTATATGCATTCGCAATAAGCAAAATAGAAAAAAAAATCCTAAAAGACATCTTTTGACAACTCGAACCGAACAAAGATTTATTGTTTGTTTTCGTGATTCATGAAAACAATTTTTTTTCTCTCTCTCTCAAAACATACCATATTCATGCGACAACATCCACAACATCCAAAAACAACAACAAAACATTTGTCAAGACATTGGCAAAATCTATTTTCGTACCTCGAGGATATTGTATATTCACAAACATTATTGCAAATAAATAAACGAAGCATATATATAAATCTAATAATTTTGTCGTTTAATATCCACCAAAAATGAAATATATTTTCGTTTAAATTCATAACCAAAATAATAATTGATTATTTTTTACCACGATCGTATCATAAATATTTCTCAATAAAGATATTCGTAAAATTGGTTTCCAAAATTCCTGTAATTGCTTTCAAAAACACGCAAAAAGGTTATGAAAACAACTACAAATGTGCGATTTCATTATTATCATCATCTTAATCACATCATAAATATCATCATAGAAACTGATGATCACTGAACTATCTCGTTTTCTTTTTCTTGTACTTGAATTAATCAAAATAAACTCTAACACTTTTTTTCAAAAAAAAAGATCAATGAATCGATAATTTGATCACTATTGTAATCGATAAATGGATTTGGATAGCACCAACCAACAAAAAAAACGATCAATATTTCATTGTCTCTACAATGTTGAACACATTATTTTACTACAACAACAGCATATGTTAGGCAACTATAATTGCAAAAAGAAAAAGAAAAATCAACAAAAATCAACAATGATGATTGTTAATGGAATAAAATTAATGAATAAATGAATGAATGATTATAGATAAAAGTTTCAACAACAACAACAAAAAAAGAGTTGAAAAAAGAAATTATTCCAATGTTATCTTAATAGTAGATGATAGCGAACAACATGATAACCAAATGTAATGAATGAATCTGATAGATTGGATCGTTTTCTGGTTAAAAAAACCCAGAAGTGGCGGTCTCTGAGGATTTTAATCGATACTGATTTGTAGATACATTATTACCAAAAATATATGCAAAAAAAACTAATGAAAAGGAGATAGAAAAATGAATTTCCAAACATAAATCATTTTCATTTGTTTCAACAAAAAAAAATGTGAGTAGGAGTGATAAATGTCGTTACAACCAAAATAATAATAATTAATCTCCAAACATGAATTAGGTCAATGAAAATTGTTGTTATTGTTTTTTTCTTCTTCTGAGATTTTCTTCTCACGTAGCTTTCAGCAATAACAAGGAAAAAAAACTGAAAATTACATTCACTTTTTTTCCTGTTATTGCAACCATCATCATTTTTTTCTCCTAATCAAAACAGGTTAATAGGATATTTATTAGTAATTAATCAATCAATCAATCAATCAAATCTTTAAATCGAAATCGAAATCCGTCAATACATAATGACAAAAACAACAGCAACAACGAAAGTCAATAATGAATTGAAATATCATTTTAAAAAATTGATATTATCATTGAAAAAAAAAGTAACACTCAATAATTATTGATTGATTGATTGACAGGGACATTTTTATCTTTGTTTTTTTAAAAAAATTGTTTTTTAATAACCAAGCAATCATTCGGATTACAATTAATTTAGATGATAATGATGGTGATAAAACGAGAGTTATTTTGATGATGATGATGATCGTGTCCATGACAATGAAAATTTTAAAATTTGATAATTTTTTTTCTTTTGGTTGAAGAATCAATTCTATTCCAGACTATCTCATTTCAACGATTCAATTTTTTTTTGAAAATCAAATATCCAAATTACAAAACTTAAGATGATTCAATTGGAAAACAAAAACAGAAATATTTCGATATTAAATTTAGAATGATAACAGGATTTAGCTATAATTTTATGCTTCAAAAAAAAATTAATCGATTGGTCGATTAATTTTATCAATCTCAAGATGATCAACTGAGGATATTTTTTTTTGCATTTGCCTAAAGTATCGATTTTTTTTGGGTTATTGTTTTACAGATTGATTTCGATCTTATGGAAATGAAGTTTGATGATTGTTTTTCTTTTTATTTCTGTAGCTCAACATTATTTTCTCATCATCATTTCATGACCCTAAGGGTCTGTTTTATTAGATCATTTTGATTTTCGTGTAATTCTATACAATACTATTGTTTGTTTGTGTGTGTGTTTTCACGGTGCTGAAATTGATTCATTATGGAAATGAATGAATTTAACCGATTGAAAATGGATGATAATTCACCAGATTCAATCGCAGATAATGATTCTGATTCACATCAATCTCCATCAACTGAATTTTATCATCGTGATTCAGTTTTTGTCAATCAAAATCAGATTAAACAACGAAGAATAAGTCGCGAAGATGATGATACTGATGATGATGATGATGAATTGAATCGAAACACAAAGTTCAATATGAAACGACAATCAAGTAGTGGATCATCACAGGTTCGATTTAAAATCGATGATAATTCTGATAATTCTGATGATGATGATGATAATGATAACAACAATGTTCAACAAAACAAACCTTTAAAACATAAACCAAAACCTATATCCATTGATAACAATAAAACCGGTGCAATGAAATTACGTTCAACATTATCTTCATCAACAAATCGTTCAACATTAATGACACCAACATCTGCTAATAAACGTATAAGTTTTGCACAATTTGATCATGTTTTTAAATTTGATGAATCAATGACAAACACATCAACGAATAATGATAAAAAAATAGATGAACAAACTAATGAAACAAACGTTGTTGACCAAAATGAAGATAAGTAAGTTAATATATACACTCAATTTGTCTAAAATCACCTGAACAAATTCTGATACAAACTGAAATATACTGATGATTCATTTGAAATGAATGAAACGGTTTTTTAAAATGTTTGTTTTTTGTTTTGAAAGTTTGATCATAATCATCAGAAACTATAACAGGCAACAACAAGAGCTGAATGAAATATAGAATTTTAAAAGGCAAAACATTTTATAAACCAAATCTTTAGTCATAATATTCTAATGATAATGATCACTGGTTTTTTTGTTCACTGGTTACATTTTGATCGATCGTAAATCAGCCATGAAGAAAAAATGCAAATGGATTGACAATCGATCGATATACGATCACCAAACCATGCGTCATTGTGTGTTATTGTTATTATTAATTTTAGCAAAAAAAAGAGAAAGAAAGAAAAAAAATCAGGACAAACAAACCTTGCAATATGTTCAAAGATTGACGCTGTTAATATTGTTGACGTTAATATGTCGTCGGCTTTCCGTTGGTTGGAAACAAAAAGAGCCAGAAAAGCTGTTTTATACTTTACAACAAGTATTGAATTTGATTTGAACAAATTCGTATGGATTCGTAAAGCAATAACAAAACATACATAAACAAATGAAGAAGAAAAAAATTTAACTTTTAAACATGTGAGCAGCATATATTAGAGAGGTCATTAGCCGGTCTATACCACTTGAATGTTTGGTTTTGCTATAGACAATTTCGGACATTGATGATGATGATGGACAAGAAATATCAACAAATGCAAAAAAAACGAGCGAACGAAAAAATGAGCAGACAAAATAATTCAAACACTGATTTCCGAAAAAAGAAACGAATGAAAATAATAAGATTTTGTATAAACGTTTGTAAACTAATCGTCGAGTTATGAGAATGATTATGTTGGATATATAAGAGTATTCTATTTTCAGTCTCTGTTTTTTTCTATTTAAGTTTGAGTATTTTTCTTTATTTTGTTTGTTTGTTTGTCCAGTTTCTCTTATTTAAGAAAACTTTGGGCAACAAAAATTGAAAATTCTCATTTTGTTGTTTTGGTTTGGTAATAATTTTAACAATGAAATGATTGGTTCACAATCAAATAGAGATTTTCAAACAAATAGCTACTGTGTTTTCTTCGGTAATCTAGATATTAGGAAAAAAAGACAAATAGCCAAGAATTACTTCAAAAAATGCAAATTTTCTAAGAAAAAATACCTTTAATGATGTTTGAGAATGATTTTTTGAAAAAGAGAAAAAAAAAGTTTTGTAAACAAATCCCACAAATGTGGTCCAAAAAAAAAAACTTTCCAAAGCGCCAAAATAAAAAAAAAATTCGCTGCAGACACACTGCAGACAGACAGACAGACACATTTTTTCGGGTTTTCGAGTCAAATAAAAAAAAGAAAAGAATAATTCTTTTTGAACACTGTTCACAGAGAACGTTTTTTCTGGAACAAACATTCGATTTACACATGTGCACAAAAGAATTTTCCTGTTTTATGAATGATGAAGCTTCGATTTTATTTTTTTTGTTTGATTCAATTAAATTCAAAATAGAAATAATTAATCTTGGTTAGTTTTTATGCAAAACAATTTATGAAATGTGTGTAGGTGGGTGAAATGATAAAATTATCTATTCAAGTCAAGAAGATTTAAAAAATAGAAAAACTTTTTCCGCATAGGAAATGTGAATGTATTAGATGAAAAATTGAATTACTTCGAGCCAAGTTGAGATAATAAAATAAGATAAGAGAAAGCTATTTTCATTCATAATTTTGTTTTTAGCCATATAAAGCCGTTTTTTAAACTTATTTGAAGAAAGGAAATCTTTTTTTTTGCAAAGTCACGTCATCTTGAATTTTCTAAAAAAAAGGATGAAATCCGGAAAAATATTGAAATTTTCTTTGAAATGAATTGTTATTGATTATTAATCAATTTTTTCTGATTTTCTTTTCTTTTAATAGTAAAACATATACATGGGATTCGTTCAAATCGATACCTACACAGGATGAAGATTTAAGTTCCAGTTCAAATTGGGTGAAATTTTTTCTAAAATTATTGAAATTATTATCACATGCAATTTGTTTTATTTTGGTATTGGTTACGGCTGTAATAGCTAAATTATTTTTACATTTAATGGCCAATATGACACGTGTTGATAAAAGTATACAGATTTGTAAACAAAATCTACTTGATGATAGTTATGATCATTCAGCATTGGTACCATTATATACACGTTTAGAATTAAAATCCAATGAACGTATTGCATGGATATGGATGTTATTTTTTACATTGATTGCACCCGATATATTATTATTTTTTCGTAGTATACATTCATGTTTATTTAAAAATTATTCACTTCCGGATTTGTATTCAACATTAATAATATTTTTATCAAGTACATTCGAAGTAATTGGTATTTCATTATTGGTTTATGTTGTGTTACCATCATTCGATACAATTGTTGGTTTAATGATAACAAATTCATTATTTCTTATTCCATCATTATCTCATTTTATACGTGTTATTAAAATGAATAATAATAATAATGATGAACAAAAACGACAAACACTATCGAATCTTATAATGAAAATTTTATATCTAATAGCATTTTTATTTCAAATTATCGCTATTGTATCATGGCCAATTTTAATAGCTATAAAAGATTCACAATATAAATCAACAACAATTGAAGATAATGTTTTTGATCCAAAACCTGATGACATTCATTTAACATGGATTATTCCTATTGCATGTTTTTTAATAACATTTAGTTATTGGGAAAATTTTTTGGACAACAATGATCCTGACAATGAAAATGATGATTTATCATCAGAAATCAAAAATCGATTTTTGAAATTATTATACAAGATTAAAAATAGTTCGAAACGAAGTAAATTTGCCATCTATTTATTTGTATCGATTTGGAAATGTTTACTTCATTTGGCCATCATGTTAATCATTCAGGGTATATTCGCCATTCATTATTCTAAGACGACAGATGCTGGTGATAATGATGTTGATGATGATAATAATAATAATCATTTGAACCGAATGGCCGATATGATGAATTTTATGTTTGCCAATTTTAGTGAAGCATTTCGTACGCATCCTATTCCATTGGTAGCCAATGTTGGATTCAATTGTAAATATATTTGTGCTACATTAAAATCAAATTACTAATTTGATGTTCTAATATATACATAGATCGCCATCCAACAATCGATTCTGATCCAATGTTGCCGATTTCGATTGGATTGATACAAATTACAGCAGCCTTTTTTTGCTATCAAACAATCAATTTTGTCTGTAAAATCTGTATCCAACCGTTAGGATTTGGATTGCCTATTACATTAGCAATGCCGATAACTGTTTCATTGGCACATTCATTGGGTCAGATCGCAATCAATGATCGATGCTGGCTACCCGATCATTGGCACATTTTTGATTATACATTTTTTAATGTTCCTTATGATATTTTCGATTATAAATGTTGGATAAATTATTTATTCTATATTATATGGATGATAACTTTCATATCACAAATCATTATAACTAATCATATTTGGATTTCATCCAAAGAACGATTAGCATCAACAAATCAGCTATTTATGTTGCCATTATATTCTTCGGCATTTATCGATCAATCATTAATGTTGAATCGACGCCGTAATTATGATAATGATATCTGGTCTACATTGAATGAAAATGAGTTGGATTCATTAAATAATGATCGAAAATCGCCAGTTCAAGAACTACATCGGAAAGCTTCCAAAGAAAATGATGACAATGATATTCGTATCTTTGCCTGTGCAACCGTATGGCATGAAACGGCTGACGAATTATTACAAATGTTAAAATCAATCATGCGAATGGACAAAGATCAATGTTGTCGATCATTGGCTGTCAATTATCTAGGGGTTAAAAAACGTGATGTCGATTTTTATCGATTTGAAAGTAGGCATACGATTGATAAAAAAAAAATAATAATAATAATTTGTCATTTATTTTCCAATTTCATTTTTATCAGCACATTTATTTGTTGATGATGCATTTAAAAAAGGTAAACATTATAAAAAGAATGCCAACGATTTGGATATCAATGAGTATGTACAAACATTGATCGATGTGTTGGATGAAGCGGCACAAAATGTTCATCAACGTTATCTCAAAATCAAACAACCGAACATTCATTTAACACCGTATGGTGGCCGTATTGAATGGACATTGCCTGGCCGTACTAAATTGATTGCTCATCTAAAAGATTCGGCAAGAATCAGACATCGAAAACGTTGGTCTCAAGTGAGTTTCGGAATTTTTTTTATTTAAAATCTATCCAAAGCATATCTAACTCCTAATTATACTTTCGCTAATTGTCCAATTTTGCATTTCAGGTGATGTACATGTATTATTTATTAGGTTATTTAATCTATCAGCAAGAACCAGATCGAAGAGATATATTAATGAAAAACACATATCTATTGGCATTAGATGGTGACATTAATTTTCAGCCAGACGCTGTTTTACTTTTAGTCGATTTAATGAGAAAAAATTCGAAATTAGGAGCTGCATGCGGACGTGTACATCCGGTTGGTGTAGGGCCAATGGCTTGGTATCAAAAATTTGAATATGCTATTTCACATTGGCTGCAAAAAGCTACTGAACATGTATTTGGCTGTGTTCTTTGTAGTCCCGGTTGTTTTTCATTATTTCGTGCATCCGCTTTGTCTGATACGAACGTGATGAATCGTTATACAACTAAACCAAGTGAGGCCATTCATTATGTTCAATATGATCAAGGTGAAGATCGATGGCTATGCACATTATTATTACAACAAGGTTGGAAAGTTGAATATTCGGCTGCATCCGATTCGTTTACTCATTGTCCCGAAGGATTTGATGATTTTTATATTCAAAGAAGACGTTGGGCGCCATCTACTATGGCAAATGTTATCGATCTATTGAAAAGTTATAAAAATACTGTTCGAGCAAATGATGATATTTCATCACTTTATATGCTTTATCAAGCTGGTCTAATGTTAGGTACAATCTTAAGTCCGGGAACAATTTTTCTAATGTTGGTCGGAGCTGTTAATAATTCATTTGGATTAAAAAATGAAATATCATTTTACATTAATATTATTCCAGTTTTGATATTCGTTTTGGTATGTTTTTTCGCCAAAAATAAGATACAGATTCTGGTAGCACAGTTGTTCAGTACATTTTATGTAATGTTAATGTTAGCAGTACTTGTATCGACATTTATTGAAATCTATGAAGAATCAATTTTTTCACCATCTGTCATTTTCTTTGTCGGAATGTTTGCTGTATTCGTTATATCGGCATTAATTCATCCACAAGAAATTTCCTGTCTAATACCTGTCATTATATACATGCTAATGATTCCTAGCATGTATTTATTGTTGACTTTATATTCAATTATTAATATGAATATAGTAGTTTGGGGTACACGTGAAAATCCCAAAACAACCGAACAAACACAACAAACAATTCAACCGGCACCCAAACAATCGGATAATCTTTTCAACGATGTACGACAATATTTTCGAAATCGATCAAGAAAATTAGAAATATTTAATTGTGTTTGTTGTGGAACACCTAGAAATGATGATGAATTTACCTTGTTGCATGAGATTAAAAATTCAATGCAACAAGTACAATCTGATATGGAAAAAGTAAAAACACAGAATTCATTAGGCAGTAATATTATTCGTCGAATGAGTTTATGGAATAGACGACAATCAACCGTTGCTGAACCAACTTCGAATCAATCCGAACAAGATCCATTATTGGCAAATGATTTAGAAAATGAAGATATTTTATTGAATATTGCTGATCAAATTGACCAGAATAAAGAAAAAGAAGATGAAGAATTTTTGTATGTACGACAGCCACGATGGATACATAATGATCATCTTAAAAATGCCGACATTATTTCGATCGATGAAGAGGAAAAACAATTCTGGACAATTTTCATAGAAAAATATCTAAAACCATTGGACAAAAATGTTGAACATGAGAAAAAAGTTAAATCTGATTTGATTAATCTAAGAAATCAGGCATTTTTTGCCATGAGTATTATCAATATTATATTCGTTCTATTTGTTTATCTTATGCAATTACATAAGGATATTTTCAATTTTGATATTACACTATCACAGCAGCAAAATGGTACAAAAACAATATTAATCGATGATGAAGAACATGACATTCCTATTTATAATACGAAAAAAATTGCCATGGATCCTGTTGGTTTTATATTGATACTATTTTTCGGTGTAATTCTAATTATTCAATTTATTGGAATGTTATTACATCGAATGGGTACATTAACACATTTGCTTGCATTTACTGATTTACATTTTTTCCATGTTCGAGCTGAAGATATTAAAGAAAAACGACAATTAGATCAAAATGCTTTTCAATTGGTTCAATCAATTATGGATGATACGGAAGAATCCGATACAAAAGATTATGGTTATTTTGATATGGAAGATTTTTTCCGTCCTTCAATGTATAGAGTTATGGATCCATCAAATGCATATGGTTTGTTAAATGAAAAAAGAAAAATAATTTCCCATTACAATTAATTTGACTTATTCCTTTTCACTTATTTACACATTCACAGAAATGATCAAAAAAATTAAACCAAATACAAATGTTTCCAAACGTAAATTGGGTGCAGAATTATCACGAAGAAGTTCAATATTTGTTGGTCGTAGTCATTTCTATACGGATGTGATTCCTGAAAATGATGAAAATCCTGATCATGATGGTGATGATAATGATGGTAATCATCATTCCAAAGGTATAGCCTAATTATTTTCTAATGATACAATTTAAAATTTTTAAAATTTTCTTTTTGTTTTTCAATTATCTAGAAAATGTATCCGATTCTGATTCCAACGAATCAACAACCGATCATATTTTTAGCCGAGAATCATCACCAATTAGAAAACATGCACCACTTGTATTTACAGAAAGCACAAAACTTTAAGATTTCTTTTTATATCTTTTTTTGTCTAATTAAAACTAAATAAATACTAATTATCAATAAGTATTTGATGTTTTTTTTTTCATTTATATTTTATTTGTGAATTGATAGAATAAAATCGTGTTTTACAAATAATAATAATAATAATAATATCATATGTTTGAATTTCATTAATTAATCATTTTGTATTGGATTAAATTGATATGATTTTTTTCAATGTCATGCAACAATGTTTGTTTACACACATTGGTCATTGTTCATCATTAATTAAATGAAATAAAACGGATTTTTGTTTTGTTTTTTTTTGTGAATGGATTAATCAGTACTGATCAAATCGTTAAGTTTTGGATAAATAGGAGTTGGTTCATAATTTGGACGAAATAGTGTCCATGTTAAACCAGTTTCAAGGCCACCTTTTCCACCAGCACTTGGTACTAATGTATAGCCAAGTTGATGTAATTTATTCAGAACACGAACTGGAGCATCTTCAACTTTGAATACGATTGATTTTCCATGTGGATCATAATTGATTTTTGTTTCCTGATTTATGGCTATACGATCTTTTTTTCGTTGACATAAAGCTTCAATTTTTTCACGAAGTTTTTCTGCTTTTTCTTCATCACGACAATCGCTTAATTTAGCTTCAAATTTACGTATACCTTTATCCAATTTGTTATCAGATTTCTATCAATAATGGACAAAAAAAAAATTAAATGAATTATAGAACTATTGTTATCAATAGAACTTACATCAATTTTTTTATGATGATGATGATGATGACGGCGACGAGATAATGTCAAAGAATTTTGTTCATTTAATTGCTGTGCATTACCACCAGCTAATTGTTCATGAAGAATTGAATCTTCCGTCGATATGGCTGTTGGACCATAAAGTTCATCAACGGAACTGACAATAACAAAAGACATTTTTTTGTTACTTTAAAATTTGGAATAAAAACGATTGATCACTCGATGACAAATATCAAAATTAAATTGTTTTTGGTTATTTTTCCTTATCATTTATAGACAGCAATGATCAGCCAACAATGATAATTTGACAATTGTCGAACAACAATCTACAAACATCATAATGTTATTGTGTAGTAGTGGTATGATGATAAAGAAACTATGACGTCTATGAAGACCGGTTGAACTTGTTTTTTTGATTATAAAAAATGGATGTTTCATATGAGTAAACATTATTGCATCAAGACAACGATGATTCATCATCAACACAGCAATTCGGTCAAGGAAAAGTGTATTTTGTTCCAAAATTGTATGATTCATCATTATTGATCCATTATCATCATCATTATCTTATATCATGAAAATCGATTAACCAAGAACATTTCATCATTATTTTTTTTTTTTAATATCACAAAAAAATTTAATGATGGAAAACATTGATTGATTTCCGTTTTTTCCGTATTTACTGTTTTTATTCCCGGTTAATAGGTGGCAGTCAGGTGGCAAACAAACTAACAAGCAAGCTAAACATCAATTCTGTCTTGTGAAATTATTCTTTTTTTTTAAACCTTTGATTGCAAAATGAATTGTAACCCAAATTTCTGTTTTTGTCAATGAATAATAGATAATTTTTATCATTCATATTTGAATCATATTTGGGGTAATATGGATTTTATGCGAGGAAAAAAAAATACAAAAATAATTTTGTAATATCAATTTACATTGAAATTATCTCTATTATCGTAATAATTCTATTTGATAAAATTAAATTGAAAATAAATAGGAAAAATGAATAGTTATTTTTTTTGTTTTATTTTCTGGAATATTTGGCATTAATAATTGAATACAGTGCATCCGTATGTGTGTTGTGAAATTCGGGAAGAAAAATTATAATGTAAATTTTACATGAACATACGAAACAGGTATGACAAAGATATAATCATCACTTTGATGACTTTGATTTATCATAATTAAATGTATCTTCAATTTCATTTTTTTTCTGTTTGTTAATTCAGATTCATTGATTGACGAAGAAGAAGAAAAAAAGCCATAAGATTCATCATCTTTTGATGATGATGATGAATATCATTGGTTGTCAAAAAAAAAATCACAATAATGTTATGTTTTATGTGAAAACTTTTTTGTCATCTGCACCTGAACATATCACTTTTTCTTTGATATTCTATTTATAATTACTATATATTCAGTATGATGATTACCAAATAATAATAATAATGAAACAAACATCAATCACAGCTAGTGCAAGTGCAACAAAAAAAAAAAAAATCCAATAGTATAGCCTTGTGATGACACAAGAATTCACAATTCAATCGATTAGAAAAAATAACAACAACAACAACGGAAAAACAATCACAACAGTTCATCATCAAATCTTTTTTTTGTTTTGTTTTACTAAATTGTGATTAACGTAAAAAACAAAGAAAAAATGTTTGTGAAGTGCTTTGTTGTTTGCTGTATATACATAAATCAAACAAAGAATATTATGTAGAAATTTTTTTTTTAACTTTCGATTATAAAATGTTAATGAATAAATTGAAATGAAATTTTTAGAAAAGAATAGAATATATACACAATGATTAAATTATTCTGAAATTTAATTTGATTTCATTTTGGTTTGATTTTTCTTTTCTTTTTTTTTCGTTTTCAAAACAAATCACATTGTTGATATCCTGTTCTGTTTTTTCTTTCTGTTTTTTTTAATTGATTGAATTTGATGTCTGGATATGCTTAAGTCTGCTATAAGTGCCATCAACAAATTGTCTACTCTAATGACGAATCATTTTTAGTTGTTTTGTTTCGTTCGATGCTAATCTATAGAAAATAGAAAAATAGAAAACAAGAAAATGATTGAGATAAATAATTGAAATGCAATATAACAAAAAATCATTACGCGCAAATCAAATAGAAAATCGATAAACAAAAAGACAAAAACAAAAAAAAAAATTTCCATTCAAGAGAATCAATAATATTCTTAGTGGATTGATTTTTCCAATCAATTTTATTTTATCTTGAAAAAAAACGAAACAAAAGAAATGAACATTTTTTTTGTTGTTTTGTTTGGTTTGTTTGTTCGCAAAAACTATACGATAAAGGTAATTGAATTTTTTCTTGAAAATCGAAATTGTATATCGAATTGAAAATGAAAATAAAGGATTGAAATTTTTTGTTGTTGTCTTTTTTTGCACTATGATTGAAAGAAAGCAACAACAACAACAGAACTATAAGTAAAAATAAATTTTCTAATGTTTTTTTTCAATTGAATCAAAAAAAAAAAAAAAAAAAAATTTTTTGATCAAAACATATCAAATGAAGAATCAAATTGACATAATTACATTAAAATTTCTTTTAGGTTCTGTTTTTTTCCAGTTGTTGTTATTGATTCCTATATTTCTATATTTAGAAAAAAATTTATCTAGTACACATTATGTACGTTTGATGATTCTTCGTTTATTTTTTTGTTTTTATATTTGTCTGTCTGATAACGTCATCTTAATTTTTTTTATAACATATATCAATTTGCAGAAAAATCATTTTTTTTTCTTTTTTTGAATGAAGGAAAATAATCATCTTGTGAATTATGTTGATAATCTTGTTTATTCATATTATTTAATGAAAATGCTGTTGTTGAATGTAATGATGCAGGTGATGTTGTTGATGATAATGATAAGGATGATATGATGATGCCATTTCAATTGTTTTATCATTTGTTGATGAAATATTTATTATTGTAGTCATTGTTGCAGTTGGTATTGTTCCACCAATTGTTGTTGTATTGGTAATATTATCCGGATTTGTATCAGTAATTGGTATGCCCATTTCAACATGATCAATACTTTTTGAATCAAAACGTTTTAAACGATTACTATAACGTGGAAATAAGGACAATAAATTATGCTGAAGAATGACAACAAAAAAAGGAAAAAATGTGAAAAACACCAGTAAATAAAATCAATTTTCAAAAAAAATTAAGAAGGGAAGAATTTTTTATCATCAAAGAGCCGATTGAACATCATTTAATAAAATTTCGTAGATGTTTGTCAGTTACTAATTCTTTTTTCAATCAATATCGGTAAGAGAGAGAGAGAGAGAGAACCAATGAACCAAAGAACTCTAGAAACTCTAGAATGGTTTTGGTGATTGCAACAGATTCGTTTAGAATTCTTTTCCCAATTCATTTGGAATTACTCTTGTTACATTCAGTTCAAATATCTTATCGTAACAAAACAACAACAACAACAAAAAGCTAATCTAATGCTAAATTTAACAATGAGTATTCATTAGTGGAAAAAAATTTGATATTGTTTTCATGATGATATATCTATATAATTGTAAAATAATGTCATAAAAGCTATTGTGGATTCAATAATAGACCGATGATTATAATTAGTAGAAAATGATGATGTTGATCATAATAGAGTATTGAAGATCGAAAATTAAAGAGAACAAAAATAACAAAAATAATTAAACTTACCCGAAAATTTTCGCTCATAAAACAATAAACAACAGGATTAATTAGGCTATGTACCATTGAAAGAAAATGTGATACAAAAAATGAGCTATAATATACATTATACATGATTTCCGTTTCAATATTCATAATACTTGGCGCAAAATATAATAAAAGATTGAAAAAATGTATAGGCAACCAACAAATAATAAATAAACCAACGACCATTGTTAACATTTTGAATACTTTATTTTTAACATCTAATTGATGTGTATCACGTACAACATCCGGATTACCAGGCGTTACATGATTTACCATATGATACCAAATAGCCGAATAGGCTAAACTTATAATCAAAACCGGTATTAAAAATGTCAATACAAATACCAATACTGTATAAATTTGGCCATGTAATTCTTCTGACCAAACTTCAATACATTCATATAATTTATGATTTGAAAGCATATATGGTGATGCACGTGATACAAATAATTGTGTTGATGAAAATGCTAATCCAACTAGCCATATTATAGCCAATATTGAACGTTTACTATAACGTAATTTATATAATGGATGTACGATTGCAAAATATCTATAATGAATGAAGATGATAAATAAAAAATAATAAATAAATAAATTACATTTGAATAAGATAAACAAAACACTTATAAAAACCGGAAAAATGATTATTACATAAAATGGAAAAGAGTTTTATATTTTTTTGAAAGCAACAACATCAAAAATTGTAACATTCAAATAAATTATTATCAACATCATCATTAAATTGATATATTGTTGTTGTTGAGAGAATAGCCAATATTAAAATTATGATAATCATCAATAATCGATGTCATATTTTGTTATGATTAATCGATATTGATCTTTTTTTCTCCATCATACCTTTCTTGTTATTTTTTTCAATTCAATGTAAATGTACCGGACATTCATTACAGACAAGATCAATAAAACCAAAAAAAAAGAAGAAAACTTAATGATTATTATGATTAATGTGAACATAAAAATTGAAAAACATTGGTTGTGTTTGTGTTTGAATTAATGTTATTTTGAAACGAGAAAAGATGATGATTCCATAGGATAAAAAAAATTATCAGAACCTTTAATGTTAATAACTTTTTTATGAAGGAAAATAAGAAATAAGTGAAAATACAGAAAAAAACGGGAATGAAGAAAAAGATGCACAAAAAAAACAGGAAATGATATACAAATAATAACATTATTAGTGACATTTCCATTATGAACAACAAACATATATCTTTTCATTTTCAGAAACATGTTATTTTCTTTAGTTTTTTTCTTCTTCTTCACTGCAATAAAATGAGCTTTATAAAATAAACATTCCAAAAAAAAGCTATGAAGAATCTATAGAAAGTTTGTGTGTGTGTGTTTTTTGTTTCATTCATTTTCACTCATGGGACCATAGAAAATCAATAATGATAATTTTTGATTGAATAATTGAATATGATGTAGATGTATGAATCACTATGTAGGGAATTTATTCATGCATACACATTTATGTTTTATTATTAGAATAACATAATAATTTACCCGAAAAGGTGATAACAATCAAAGCCAATCAATCAATTAATTGATTTTTATGTATATTTTAAGCATCACTTTTTATTATTAATTACATTATATTACTTACCTATCGATGCTGATGATTGTCAATGTCCAAACACTAACAAATACAAAACATAATTGTGTAAAATTAACAACCGGACATAATGGATGTGGAAATATCCAATGCTGTAGCATAACATTTGTATAAGTAAATGGTATACAGAATATAGCCATACCAATATCGGCTAATGATAGATTAACTAATAGATGCCATATTTCGGTTGATTGTGATCGTTCACCATAAAACCATACAATTATTGTTATTATATTTAATGATAATGATAAAAATGCTGTTAATGAATATAATGTTATTAGAATAAATTGACCTGGCCAAAAATCCAATATGGCAAATGAATCGATATCATCAAAATCGCCTGAACCACTATCACCATTGTCATCATAATCATCTTCATCATTATATCCTAAACCGTTTCCATCATAAGCAAATGTTTGATTTTCAAGGCCAAGCAACAATGACATTTCACTTGTCGTAAGATTACGAAAAATTAATACATCCGAATCCAGATCAATTAGGCCTACAATAGATGTATCATTTTGGCTAGTTAAATCATTTAGATTGAAATTTTTTGGATCAAAAATCATGAAGCCATTCATTTTAGCATTTATATTTGTATTTTTACGACTTTTCTGTCCACTTGATTCATTAATCGATAATGATGATGTTGATGTATCAGGTGGAAAAATTTCGTCGAATTTCCCCGAATCGACAGTCGTTTTAAATAGAATATTCATTTGATTTTGTTTATCATTATTATAATTATCATGTTTCATATTGTTGTTTATAATTTTTTTATTTTTAAAAGTATCATTTTTATCATTGATATTGGTCGTTGATGATGACGATGATTGTGAAATGTATGATATTAATGATGATGATTGATATGAATGATGATGATAATGTGATGATGATAATGGAAATGGTGATGATGACAATGATGATGAAGGTTGACTTTCAACATTTGGAGATATAAAAATTATTAAAATCATAACCAGTATGATAATCATCATCATTATTATTATTACAATATATTGCGCACAGAATAATTTTAAAATAAAATTAATTGGATAAAAATTTTTACAATAATCATATTCATATATATTCACTAAACACTAACATTATTGATGAAAAATTTTACAATGATAAAAAAATAATAAAATGATGATGGAATTTTGTTTTCAAAAGTTGACAATATAAAAACAACAACAACAACAAAAAAAAACCTATAGAGAATTCATCGAAAAAGGAAATGATATTCATTCATTCATTCATTCATTCAAACAAAAAATGATCATTTGATCCAATTGTTGCTAGCATCATCATATTCTATTCCTATTAATGATGATGATGATGAAAAAAATCGAAAGATCCAATGAAAAATAAAGGATTCCAATGATGGATGTTCACATAAATGTACAATGATATTCATTCATTTTTACGTGGCCTCTTTTTTTTGGTTAGTTTGTTCTATGTGTGTATACGATGTGTATAGTAATTCGGTTAGTATTTGGATGATTTTTTTTTCTGGAACTTGCGCCGTTTATTTTTCCAAATTGATTATATTTTACCGCGCAATTTTTTTTGTATCGATATTTTTATTCGATAATTGTTATTCTTGGGCACAACATTTTATTTGTATGAAAAAAAACAGTGTATAAAACAAACAAAACAATTTTTTTTAAAAATGATAATGATTTCATTGTGTCCATGTTTACAGTGATGTAAGCACGTTCACTTGAAAAAAATATGTTGACACTTATTTGCATACATTTTCAAGTGGAAATTTTTTTTTTGAAACAAAATGATTGTGATGGGAAAAAAATGAAAATTTAAAAGAAATTAATCGATTGAAAAGTTTTCATATCAAACTGTAAATAATTGTAAATAAAGTAGAAAACAAAACAAAACAAAAAAAATATTCAAATTTTCATTTTCTAGAACATTCTGTCAATCTGCCTATTGAAAAAAAAAGATAACAAGATGGAAAACAGATTCATTTAATTTAATTGTTGTCTGTCATTTGTGATTGAATTTCAAAAACAAAACAAAAAAATAATGATTAAAAGGAAGTTACAAATATATATAGTCGTAACAAAAACAAAAACACGTATACTAAAATAGCTTCAACATCATCATTCCGGTTAATTCAATGAATAATTAAAGAACATATCATCCATTAAAATAAAGAATAAATAAATTCATTCGAATTGATGATGACCTCATCATCGATGATGATGATAATAGTATCAAGAAATCAGAAAACAAAAACGAGAATCAATCAGCAGAAAAATGGTTAGCAATTCTTTTATATTTATAAATTAATCCTTATTCGTTTTGTTTTTTTTGGGTCATTGAATTCTGAGTTTATTACACCGCGATCTGATATTGTCAAATTAATCTTTGAAAGTAAAAAGTAATGAATGATTAAGAAAATGTTAATACATTTAGAAATTCATCATGATTGGTTTTTTTTGTTGGTTTGTTTGTACGATTAAATCGAACACTAATGAAGAGAATAAAAGAACAAAAAAAAGATGGAGATTTAATAATGTTCATTGATCCCGGATGGTTCAAATCATTTCATCATCAGCGACAAAATCCGAACCAAAAAAAAAAAAAAAAAAAAAAAAAAAATTTTTTTGGGGGCAAAAAAAATAAA